GTATCATACACATCTACTTGGTCCATTCGCTTTTTTTGTCAAAACACCGAATTTATTATCCTTTTGGTATTTTCTTCTCCACACACACACACACACACACATCACAGATCTTACCCGAAACCGGAGACTACTGAAGTGACAAATAATGAAAGGAGGAACACAAATTCAACATTTATCCTCCCGAACACCTCCTCGCATTCGAATGACCCACTGAGAGGCAAGACAGATCATCATTCGGTGAGTTGGAGTCCATTAGAATGCGTGTTACTTTTTGTTGCATTTTATGCGGTTTTGAAAAGCCCAATTGGTAAGCGTGCATTAGACAAACATTTGTGCTTTTTTGTTTTAATGGTTAGGTAGCGGGAAAAGGAATTTAGCCTCCTTTTTGATGCCATTATTTTACCATTTCAGAGAGTTTTTAATTTGTTTAAAATAGCGTCAATTAAGTGATTTTTTAGAAGAGTGAAAAATTTTACTTCACCCTTTTCCAAGGATTGATGATATTTTTTTTTGTTTTCTTCGGAAATGGTTTAATGTAGGCTTAGAGAATTGATATTCGTTGTGGGATATAATGTCATCTTTCTGAGGATAGCCTCTGATTTATAATCAAGAACAATTAGCACAAAAGAATTAAATCAACTAAGCACCATCTACGTATGGAATGGAATATATTCTGGATTCATCAGGCGCTTGCCTCTTGGTAGTTCCTTTTAAGAACTGAAGTTCACAACCCAACTTCCCAAGTCCCCATTTCCACTGGGCTCGGACCGGGAGATTAATTTGAAAGAAAATTTTGGTTGGGTCAACAGAGTCCATATCACTTCATTCTGGCAATCAATCCAATTACTTGATAATAAAATTGAACTGAATTTAATACCGTTCTCAAATTGTCATCACTAAGCGAATTATTTATTCCCAATTGTCAACAAGAGACTGATGGACCGCAAATAAAATAGCTCTCAGATTAGACAGCAGCCCAAGGCAAGTTTGTTGTAGCTTTATCGATTGATTTTGAGCAGGAGGAATTAAAAATAGCTCCATCCTCCGGTTCTACTCCCATCACCCCCCCCCTCCCCCTCCTCCCAACACCCACCTCATACCAATTAAAATTTTCGGTGGGGAAAACATGATTTCCCTCATCTAATTTTAGAACTTAATGGACTACCTTTGTATTTTTTAGACAAAAAAAAGCGTTTTAAAATCGAATCTTTCGTCTAAATTGCGCGTTGCCATGGTTGCTCCTAACTTCTACTCAAATAAGTTAGCATGAGAGTAGGTGGAAGTGTTTTAATGCATTGGGTTTATTTTAAAACTTTTAGCGTGGACAAAACCTGCAAAGCGAGGCTCTTCACCTACGTCTTAAAGCTAATTTAATTAATAATAAGCAAATAGACCGAGTCTTAGCGTCAGCACTAGGGTGATTATTGCTTCGTTTATTGATTCGGCCTGGAGTCTACCAGACTAACAGAGCATGCTAATTTTAGCCCTTTTATACGTGGCACTCTAATTGGGAAACGATATTTCGTAAACACGAACAACTGGAAGACTACGGCAGTTGAATCACTAACACCCTTGCCCAGTCATAAGGCATACAAAATTAACCAAACCTAAGGAACAAGATACTTTGTCTGTCAACCACAAAACAATCCCACTTAAAGTTCTCCCGATTAGGCCTATTAGCCGCCCTAATTAATTTGCGCTCTCCCTCTTTGTTATAGCAAATCACTGACAATAGCGGGTTCAAGTATATTTCCAGTCCGACACCAATTAAACCAGCGATTGAGGTGGCTCAAGCGCCATCTATGGGCCAAATCAATGGCAACGGAGGCGGTGTAACAACTGCTACCCAACCGGCTCTCCTTCGATGTGCTTACGCTGGAAATCAACTTCAAATATCCACGGGTCTGATACCTAACCACGCTGGTGTTCAAATTATTGAGAAACCTATGCAGATTCAATCAGCAGCGTTTCCGCAGACTGCTACTGGAGTACCGACGCATTCAGGATTGACTGTCATATCTGATGGTATGCAGACTACTCCACGTGAGTTCAAGAAACTTCAATTCTCCTGAATTATTTCAGTGCTTTTGGCTAATTCGCGTTCATTCCCACTTTTAGTCAACTGTGATCAGAGGATTTTCCCTGGAGCTACTGGAACTCCATACCTGCAGTTAGATCAATCTGGAAGTCGTAGTGCCACGACGTTCCTTCAGAATCGTCAGTTGTGCACGGTTATTGGCTTGACTCAAAAAGCAATGACCCAGTATGAGACATCAATGTCGACTGTAACAGCTGGAACAGCGACTATGACAACTCAGACTACACCCACAAGTGGTTACCTGACTTTGAATCCAACTCAGCAGACACCGAATACTCAAGCCGCAACGATAATTGTTGGACATCATGAAGGAAACTCGGGAACTGTTCAATATGCTAACGACAAAGTGGATTCGATTAATCTTTTATCACCAAACGCTGGTCCAGGTTGTATTTCTCTACCTCCGAGATCAGCTCGAGTATTCCAACTCATTCTTCCACAGTCGGCGACAGCTTTGTCCCTTCGTCCACATCCAGGATCTATGGGATCTGTTATCCAACTAACAACTACTGGCTCACAGAATCTTGGAACAACCACAATTCCACTGAAACAGACGCCAATAATGCTGGAAGCTGGTATGGAAACTCAGTCAACTAATTCAGCCAACACATCGACTATTGAAGAGACGCAGATTCAAGAAAGTGCAACAATGGAACTTCAACAACCCGGGGAAATTATGGATACACACAAAGCTGATTCCTCCTCACTACTAACTATGGCGGAATGGGAACAAGTAAGAACCCCACTCTTGTATAATGAAGCACGCATGTTCCATTAGTAAGAAGCGAACAGTGAATGCTCTGAAATACTTCCAATCCAACCACACAATTAGTACTTATTTAATAGTGAAGGAAGAAATGTGCACAATTTGTACCTCACAGTGACGAAAAGAGGAACAGGACTAGGGGTTAGATTTCTTAAACTTGATGACATTTGAGGTTACACATTTGACAAGTTCGTGATCAGCTGATCTTCATCAATATCAAAATACTGAACCCAGTTTGTCTCGAATACCTGTTAAGCTGTCAAAATAATGGGTGAATTAGAGACCAACCGTGGAAATTGCGCATCCAACCCTTCGACTGTGAGCTTTACTTGACAGGAGTGCATTGTTGTGTCAAGACATTTCAAGGTTCACCTTTTCAAATAAGCTTCCCTAATTGGCAGTCTTTAACCACAGTAGTTGGAATTGATTAACTAATGCATGATGGGGGGTGGGAGAGACATCACCTTGGTGCATCTGTCATTTCTGTTAATCTTTTTGCACCTATTTGGGCCTTACTTTTCAGTTTATTTAGCCCTTTTTCGAATAACCTTCATTATTCCCATGAGTGACTTTGTTCTTGACTGATTGACACTCGGATAGAGCATATAGTTGAAGTCATTTTGACGCGATTCGAACGGATGGACCCCAGGTTTTGTCATAGACGTACTCCTAAAGCCTCAAAAGCGGCCATTGACAAGTCAGACGACCGCTTTCGGTGCTGCCGATGGCCGTTCTTTTCGTTTCATATGTTTCAGTGAATGGCAGCAGCAGAATTGCCAATTAATCAGCCAATCTAAAATGCCATGACATTCATCAATCAGTCAGAGAAGTATTTTCCAAGCAATCGGAGGAAATCATTGTCTTTATCCCCGTGTTCCGAGGGGGGGGGGGGGGGAGGGCAGAGAGCAGGCAATTTAGCTTCAATTCCTGAGAAATTTTGCATCGAATGGAAATTCTTCTCAGATAGGATTGTCTTCTTTGCAAAATTAGTTCTCTGCGTGTACCGTGAGAGTGTGGTGCGTGCACTGATTCTCCAAGTCACTTGTCCGGCGGTGAATTAATAATCCACCCCCCCCCCCTCCTCCCATGGACGATGGACGCCAGATTTAATAGCGTCGAATTGGGATTGCTAAGAGTTTTCTTAATTGCTCACGAAAAAAATTAAACAAGGAAATCATCACTTCGGGTGGAGTGAGAATTATCAGACTCACTCGGTTCGGGTGGTAGAGAGGTGAATACCATTCGAGCGGATCTTCACCTCAACTAAAATATGTCTTCGAGTCCTTTTCCCAGGCATCGTATTTTCAAGCATTGAATGATAAAAGAACCTAGGGACGCTCTCCTACAATGGCGCAACAGTCATCCATCACTGGTTAAGTGCCTATTTTTACACATCCAGTGAGTTGAACGGGCTGACGCACCGGTCGGGTTTGTGAAGAGAATTTTAGCGGAATTCATGTTTTATATCGTGAAAAGACCACTTTCCCCAAGTTGACTATTGGGATATGCTTTCTGTTCTGAACAGGTATAGAATGAAGCCTCTATGCAATAAACTTCTCGGAATGAGTAAAATTGTCTGCAGAGAAATTCTTATCTTATCACTCCTCAAGCTGTAGTCACCTTGATTATCCCTACCGTTCAACATTGAATGCAGAAATCGGGAATCTAAAAAGAAGGGGTCTTCAGAATTCCATTTTCTTAGGGGGCGACAATTTCCCGAAACGTAATTAAAATATCTCCACTTTTTTTTTAATTAATGCGCAACTTCCTTTTCCCTTAATAGTTAGCTCCATTTGTTGTCATTTGAATGTCATTTTCATTTCACCAGGCACCAATATCTTATGCAAACTTGTGAAGGAGGATGGGGGGGGGAGAGGGAGGAGAGGAGGGGAGAGGGGGGGAGGCGGGGGAGGGTTCACGAAAACATCGATGTTGGTGGTAAGTTTTCACAATATGGAACTGGGCTGGAAGCAAACCAGGCAATACTTATTTCGTGGCGGTCATTTTATTGCCAAAACAACAGAATCAAGGTTACTATTTATGCAAAGACCATTTTTCCTTCGTCTAATCGATGGAGTCCACAAATTGTTCTCCTCACCTTGATTTGCTGAATTGAATGCCATATTCCAACCGAGGCTTAAGAGATGCATTGCTCTTTAATTTGCTTTATTCCATCTTTAGCGTGGATGGTCTCGTCATGCGTGACCACTTATGACAATTCTTATTACGTATGGCAACAATTTAAGATATTCTGGAGGACCTAATATGGGGAATGACTTCTGAAATAGCATAAGGGTGTAGTAAATGCTGAAAGAGAGGCCCGATTAGGGGGCATAAAATCAATTCAGGATTTACAAAGTTCCACTTTATTTGAGTTCTGTAAACGTGGAGTTTTCCACCCTCTCGTGATTTGATCTCTGGGCGATTTCGTGATCACGAAATTCAGGGGCCATTGACCAGTTGCTCTAGTTGAATGGTTTCAGGTAGGTTTAGTACTGGCAGACACTTTAAGCATAACAGAGCTCACTATACCTGGGCTCTCTTTTTCTCTATTTTCAAGCATTTCCAAGTAGTTTACCTACTGTAGATTGGGTTGTCTGTCTGTCGTTGGACAATTTGTTCTCCATCTCTGATTGCTTGAACCTGCTTAGACTTCAACTATCCCCCCCCCCACCCCATCACTGCTAGTCGAACACAGTTGCTTTTTAGCGATGCAATGTAAAGTGAGGCCTTTCGATTGTATTGCCCTCTGATTTCCTCCTTCTCCTCCTCCTCCTCCTCCTCCTTCCCATTTCCGCCTCTCTCTCTCTCCCCCCTCTAATGCATAATCTCTATATATTTAGAAGGGGTATGTGACTAATCCCCATTACTGGCGTCTGTGGCGATGTTGGCTTCGGGCATCTCTCTCTTCCCACTTTTGCACCCAATTTGGGCCTCATGTCATGTCATACTACCACTACCACTGCCACGGCCGCAGCAACCTTTACATCCACTTTTGGACAGATATTAAATTAAGGGTCTTATTTTGATTAAAAATAAGATAAGTGACGATGCAATGCCTCGACATTTTGATGCCTCGGTTGTAAATCCCCTAATTTTAATTCCAATGTGCTTCGCTTTTACTGTTTCACTAATGTGTTTTGCCTTATATTGGTGGAACAGCAAACCTCCCCTAGAACTCTTTTGCCGACTAGCTAGCATGCGTACCTACTGAAATGGGAGGAATGTGGCTGTTCTGACTCGGTTTAACAGTCACGTGCTCAAGTAAATTCACACCCCCCCCCCACCCCCCACCCC